GCTGAGTTCCATGAGTTGGAACTGACCCATAACTGACCCTCCAGAGAGTTTTCAGAGGCAGTTTAGTAGCCCAAGAGGAGAATGTCCATCTTTCTTTCATGGAGCAGCTGGTGGGTTTAAACTGCCTGCCTTTGGGATTTGTCTTTACCACTTGGCCACCAGAGTTCCCTCATAAAGATTTACAGCCTAGGATAATCCTACTGCGAAGTTCTACTCTGAGTCAGAATTAACTTGACGGCACACGACAACAGAAACTACTGCAGGAAAACATCACTGTGTGTGGGCACATCATCATCAACCCCCTTCTCTCCAATTTTTAACTGTGGTTTGAGTGAAAGTCTGTAGAGCATAATGGCACCTTCCCCTCAGCCACTCGTGCAGATGCTGTTTTATGACCTCAACTGCAATCCCTCATCATATCGGCATTCTGCCCACTCTTTCTCAGGGACTGTTGTTTCCATTCACGTATGACGTCAATGCCATCGAGAGGCATTTTGAGCCTCACAATTAAAATCAAGATGAAACTTTCTTGTATTTTTTTTAAAAAGTCCCAATGCAAGTGTGCAGGCTTTATGTCAAATAAATAACTGCTCTAAGCATATCCATGATGGCACCCTGGTGGCACACTGTGTAATGTATAGGGTTGCTAGCTTCAGGTTGAAAGTTCAAATCTGCCAGCCCCTCAGTGAGAGAAAGATGGACAGATCTGCACCTAGAAACCCAATGGAGGGTCACTGTGCACTTGAAAGGACCCAATGGCAGCAAATTTGGCTTTGAGTCTGACGCACAGTCCTAAAAAACCCATGCCACCTATTCAGAATCTGAACCACTGAGACAACTGCTGTTGAAGGGATTCTCTCTCACTTGGAAGAGCAGAACTGTGTTCCGTAGAGTTTTCTATTTTTGAAAAGTAGTTCACCTGGTTTCTGCACAGCACTGCTGGGTGGATTTAAGCCTGTCATCATCCTTCAGTGGGTAACCAAGTACACTAACCATTTAGGCCCACACTGCTTCATAACTAGTCTCCATGGCATAAACCCAGAAGCTTTGCATCTTTGCAATGTGTGGACATGCATTTTACACCCACATTTTTAAGGTTTTGGGGATATGATCTAGCTTGGTAATCTTGAGGTTAAAACTTCACAGAGAGACTATATAAAAAGTCTTAAATTTGTATCTGGTCCTCTTCTTAAAATATGGGAATGTTTTCTAGAATTTACTGCTTCAACCCAATGAAAATCACTTAACTTCATGCTGCACGTCAGCTTCTTCATTTATTAAAGTTAGAAAGTTTCTTTAACTGCATTTTAAAGCTAAATCAAGATAATATAACTTAAAATACTTTGTACAATGTGAAATTTGTATAAAAATAGGTTATTGCTTTTTTTAAAATTTGTATATTAACATTTCTTTCTTGTACTCATTTCATTTTATCTTTAATGCTTTGTTGTTGAAGGACTGAATAAAAAAATATGGTGGTCTTTCTAAGAACTGGCATCATAATAATAGCAAAAGAGAACATTCAAAATATATCCTCAAGTACAAAATTGGGACTGATATGATACTATATCACATCAGTTATTATTTTTATATTAAGTACTCAATGAGTTTACTGAGTGGGCATGCCAATTTTTTTAAGAATGATGATATTTCAACATTTCCTGTTTTCAAGATACATTTTTAACCCTTTCAAGATCAAATTCTTTTTTGCTTTCCTTTTTAATTGTTGAAAATCATGTTTTCAACAAAATTTTTAAAATGTTGAAAACAAGGGCGCTCTGGCGGCCTAGTGGCAAGAAGTTGCACTGCAATCCCAGGAGAACGTGGTTCAAATCCACCAGATGCTCTGTTGGAGAATGAGGGGCAATCTCCTCCTGTACCAGTCAGATCCAATTTGACAGTACACACACACACAAATAATAAAATTAAATTAGAAAAACTTTTTAAATGTTGAAAACATTTTTAATTAAATGGGCAAAAATGTCTGGAGGTAATATGAATTTTAATACAACTGGTTGTTGGTGTTATGTGAAGTCGAGTATAACTCACAGTGACCGTCAGATCTGAACCTTCTCCTGCCCCAGCCTCATGATCTGTCACGCTCAAGTCCCGTGTTACAGTCACTCTGTCAATCCATCTTGCTCAGGGTCTTTCCTTCTTCTTTGACCCTTCACCTTTCCTAGCATGATCTCTTTTTCCAAGGACTGGTCTCCTGACAACACGCCCAAGGTACATGAAATGAAGTTTCATCATCCTTGCCTCGAAGGGGCATTCTGGTTATACTTTCCTTCACAGAGACTGTCATTTTTTTTTTTTTTTTAGTCTATGGAATATTCTCTACTCTAATATCATAATGCAAAGGCATCAATTCTTTTCCTGTCATCCCTACTCACTGTCCAATTTTCAGATGCGTAAGAAGTAAGTGAAAATACCATGACTTGGATGGGATGCACATTAGTCTTTAAACTGACACCCTTGCTCTTTGACACTTTGGAGAGGTCTCTGACAGCAGACCTTCCCAAGGCAGCACTTGATTTTTTTGACTGCTATTAGTTGATCATGAATCCAAGTAATATTAAACTGTTGGAAACTCCCATCTTTCCCCCATTGTGAAGTTGTCTATTGCTCAGTGGTGAGGATTTCTGTTTTCTTGATGTTGAGATATAATTAATTTAGCGAGGCAGATATGCCCTGAGGGGTGTCTGGTACTAGATTGGTGCAATTATTTCTTCAGAAACATGCAATTATACAAGGTTCCACCAGATGGCAGTACACACTGAAAGAAGGATAGAAATCCCTACTAAACCCTAAAGCTGAAATTGTAAGGGGGTACCATATACCCCACAGATTGCAAAAATATAGTGAAAGAGTAATTACATCAACTAAAAAAATCAAATTCATTGTCATAATGACCTCCAGCTGGATTTCAGGTGGCTGTAAATCTATTCTCTCACCATCCCTCCACCTTTCTAAGCATGATGTACCTCTCCAAGGACTAGAAAACCAAATTTGTTATGATCAGAATACCAGGCCTCCCGCTTCGTCCTCCCTCTAAACAGGAGATAAGCAAGGCCTACTGGCTGGTTTCTTTATGACGTCACAGAGGGGAGAAACATGCTTACTTTGCTGGTGTTACTCAATGTGCTTGATGCCGAGCTGTCCAGGTCCACGCTCAGGGAATGCTCCTGTAGGCCTCTGGCTCTACTCCCCTAAACAAAGAAAAAAGCATTCCAGTTACGACCCCAACGGGCTGGTTCTTGTCCCTAACTTCAAGTCATCTGCTGAGAATGCTAAGCATGTATGGACATTAAGAAAATACAGAGGGCATCTTTTAAAAAAAAAGAATACACCAACAAAAGGTTCCAAAAGATCATGTGTATAAGTCAAGTGGAGAAAATAAAAGGCAGGAAGGAGAAATGGTCCACGTGAGAAAAAAAGCAAGTCACACAGCCAGCCCACTCAACATCTGCTCTGAATGGCACACTGTTAGACAAGGCCGTGTGGCCCTGGGGCCCAGCATCCCACCTGCATCCTGGTTCAGCTGGCCAGCCTGCCAGTGCTGGTCTGTGACCTGGCTGGTTTTTAATTAATTATCCCAGAGGATGTAGTACAATTCTCAAAATCATCAACTTTAAAAAAAAAAACAAACCCTAATTTTAACTTAAAAAAGAAAAACTAGACAGTAATGTTTCATAACGAGTGAGCTATAAAATAAGAATGAACCAGAGTAAGATGTTGTGAGGACCACAAAGGTGTGAGAGTTTGACAGAGAACTGAACTTTTCTTTTTCAGACAGGCATTTATTCTCAGCTGGCTGTTGTTGTTGTTGTTGTTGTTATGTGCCGTCAAGTCGCTTGCGACTCATAGTGACCCTACGTACAACAGCCCTAAACTCTGCTCTGTCCTGTGCAAACTGCACTGTCTCCGACACACCCATCCCGAATACCCCAGTCACTGAAATCAATCCACCTCATAGAGGGCCTTCCTCTCCTGCACTGTCCCTCCACCCTACCAAGCATGATGTCCATCTCCAAGGACCGGTCCCTCCTTATAACATGTCCAAAGTATGGTAGACGAAGACTCAGAATCCTTGCCTCCAAGGAGCTGCCCGGTTTAACCCTCTCCAGGATGAACCTATTTGTTTTCCTAGAAGTCCATGGTATTCTCAATACTCTTCTCCAGCACCACAGCTCAAAGGCATCAATTCTCCTTCTATCCTCCGTAGTCATTGTCCAACACTCTGATGCATAACAAGTGTTAGCAAAGACCATGGCCTGTATCAGACACACCTTAGTCTCCAGAGAGACATCATTGCTCTTCAGTACTTTGGAGAGGTCCCTAACAGCAGACTTTCCCATGGCAATACATCTTTTAAGTTTCTGGCTACTGGTGCCAAGGGTGTTGACTGTAGGTGGAGTCAAGCAAACTAAAGATGTGAACAATCTCAATCTCTTCATCATCCATCCTGATGCTACCAATTGGTCTGGTGGTGAGAATCTTTGTCTTCTTGACATTGAGCCTCAACCCATATTTGAGACTGCAGTCCTTGACCCTCAGCAGCAAGAGCTTCAGGTCCTCCTCAGTTTTAGTAAGCAGGGTTGTGTCATCTGCATAACACAGACTGTTGATAGATCTTCCACCAATCTTGACGCCACATTTCACCTCATACAGCCCAGCCTCTCGGATAATCTGTTCTGTATACAGGTTGAAAAGGTATGGAGACAGGACACATCCCTGGCGTATGCCCTTCCCAATTTTGAACCTCTGTTCTGACGACTGCCTCTTGGTCCAAGTATAGGTTTCTTGTTAGTACAATCAAGTGTTCTGGGATTCTCAGCTGGTAGGAGGGTGTAAATGCTTAAAGAACTCTCCAGATCAGTACTGAGGTGTACTTTGTTCTTCCTGTAGACCTGCAACAAATAAATGTTCTATAGAGGACCAAACAAGAACTAGTTTATGCTCTGTGCGCAACACAGTATAGGAGGCAGTGTCTCAACTGTGCACAAAAGCTGCCTTAGAACCACAACAAGACAAAGGAAAACAACCCAAATGCAAAATGAGCACAGGATATGAACAGACACTTCACCAAAGGCATTCAGATGGCCAACAAACACATGAAGAAATGTTCAAAATCCCTAGGTCTAAGATGCAAATCAAAACTACTATGAGATATCATTTCATCCCAGTAACAATAACAAAATTCAACAGAGCGGCAAACAACAAATGCTGGCGAGGTTGTGGAGAAACTGGAACCCTTATTCATTATTGATGAAAGTGTAAAATGGTGCAACCACTATGGAACACTGTATCATGCTTTCTCAAAAAGTTGGAAATATATCCTGAGCATCCTTCAGTCCCGGCTGCTGCTTGTGGTTGCGAGCATTATGGCTTCAAGGTTATTTCGTCGAGCTGGAGCATTGGCCGCTCAGGCCTTGAGGGCCCGCAGTCCCAATGGCGTCGCCGTCGTGCG